GAACCCAAACATATAGTAGTTTTGCTTGTTTGTGACTGGGTTTTGATACAGAATGCAAACATAATCAAAAAGGATTTGGGATGTTTATAAACGTTTTGCTCTTGTTTTCTGGTCTTTTTCTTTGCATTCCTTTTTCATGTTGATAGTAGTTGAGACTTAGCTCTCTGTCAAAGCATTAGCTGTCTGAGTAACTTGCTGGGGTTTATTTTATTTTAAAAATCCCCAAAACATCCATATTAAACAAATGCTGCAAGAGGAACAATAAATGAATGGAGTGCATCAAAGTTGTGTGCAATAGGTTCTTAGGGCAGTTCTGTTTGTGCATTTTAATTATGTGATTATAAATACCATTTTGTGTTGGGGTTGTTTTGTATTTAAATATGAAGTCCAGGCTGTTCTGGGAGATTTTATCTCATGCAAGAAATTCATATTAAGGTATTATTAAGGTATTAAATGTGAGGTATTTGTTCTTGGCACATGTGATGCTGTCATGGAATGTTCATTGTTCCTGTTGTTCTCCTACACTCACACAGAACAGAATATTTCCTGTGCTAAGGAATTTAGAGAGTGATCACAAGCCTTTATGTCTATGATAAACTTCCTATAGGACCACATGGTCAAGCTCTGCTATTCTTGCATGTTCATGTCTGAGCTGTTATGCATTTAGTTTTCTCGTGAACCAGAAATTCTGCTTTTAGCCAAACAGCTAAAGCACTGGTGGGAAATGTCTTCATTACCAATGTTTCCCCTCACTGCACTCAGGAATACTTCTTTAGTGGGGTTAATTTTACATCTCCATGCCTGAAAGTTTTGTCAGATGTTTAGTGGTAATGGTTTTTTATATTATTCTATGAGTTTACAATGGAACTTGAGCTGCTAATCTTCTTTCGTATCATAGTGAATGAAAGAATTTTCGTTACTCTTCTAAAACTGAACTTGAAATTGAGAGAAGAAATATTCAGCTATTCCTACAGCTCTTGAGGAAGCAAGTTTGTTATGTTTCTAATCTTAGCATGTTACTTTGGTAGGATTTCAGCATTTATCAATCTGAACTGTGTTTGATGTTTTGATTATTGCAGACTATGTGTAATGGATGGCCACCAGAAAAATCCCCCATCCCACCATGGACTATCTTACCCATTTGGAGGATTTGCAATACTGATACTCATCTCATAGACTAATTAATTTTCAGTTCAGTGCATGTGTCAGACCTGTGTTAGGGAGGCCTTTACTACTGTGTCTCCACTGATCACTGAGAGCACTTGAGAGCTCAGACTTGGCAGTGAAACATGGCTTGAAGAAAAAGCTAGAACAAGGCTAGTAAGAAAAAAAGTGACAAACAGAAACAGAGAGGGAGAATAAATTGGTTTGCAATAATATATTATCTGTCAAATGCCTTTAAAATAAGATATTTGGCTCCATAAGTCTGCAGTTCCTAGTTTTGATAAATTTTAGTATGGGACTTGGTTTTGTCAGTGGTCAAGAAACAGAAGCGATTGCTTATGCTGGTCCTTGAAATTGGTGTAAAATTGATGGTGGTGCTGATGACTGTCACATGAAACAAATATCAGCTGTGTTAGAATGAGTTTGTCTGTAGCTAAGGTCTTCAGTGTAGGTCTGCTGTACTCGTGGGGAATGGCTTTTTAAAGAATTCCAGCTGGTTTGGCAACCAGTGTGCATATTCATGAGACTTTGATCACCCTACATCGATGATGGAGAAGGTAACACATTTAAAACTCACAGGAGGATAGAGAAGATTTAGGTTCTCTCCCACTTCTACCACAAACCAGCTAAATGTCTATAGACCAAGCATATTTTTTTTTATGACTTTGCATCTCCTTGTATTTAATAGGAAGCATAAAATGCACTTTGTTTGAGCTATCTGATATTTGAAGGCATTCAGGGACATTAGGAATTAATATTGTAGAATGCACTGGTAACTGTGTTCACCTACATATTTATACTGTAAATATGTCTACTTAATTACCTCCAGTGTTCAAGGCAAATTGTTGCCTTCCAGTGCACCACAATGGCAATGGAGAATGTATGGTGACAATTTACAATGGAAAAATGCCTTGGAGTAGGGAGATAGTGCAGTTCCCCCCCAACAGGAGCATGTGAGATGTTCTGTCCTGATTCTACTGCTTAGACATCTAACATACATGGAGCAATATAAATAGCACAGTGTCTTAATTTCTCCTCAGACCCATTTTCTGGTATCTTTGAAAATGCCAGGAGATGGGGAAAGGTAGGAACAGTGGATACAGCTTCTGCCTCAGAGTTACTCCTGGTTCCAGAAATGTGCAACTTGTACCAATGGCTCTGATGCTATTTGAGATTCCTGTGCACAATTTTCTACTGTATTTCACAGACTTATGGAAAAATACGAAGTTTAAGGAGAATGTTTGTAATGCAGAGGGTATTGATCTAGCACCCACTTACACAACTCTTCCAAACATCAGGAGATGTGTGAGCAAAGGGCACATACAGTGACATTACAAAGAGGACATGCAGATCAAGGCTGGTGTGTGGAGGGATGTGTGGAGCAGAGTGTAGAGCAATATTGTGTGTGAATGTGAGGAAATGACTTAGGCACATCCTTCATGAACCTCTGTGTCATAGAATCATATCATCATCAGTGGTTTGGGTTGGAAGGGACCTTAAAATTCATCTCATTCCAAACCCCTGCTATAAACAGAGACACCTTCCCTGCTCCAAGCCCCATCCAATCTGGCACTGAACTCTTCCAAGGATGGGGTGGCCACAGCTTCCCTGGGAAACATGTCCCAGTGCCTCACAGGAAAGAATTTCTTCCTGATATCTGATCTAAACCTTCCCTCTTCAGTTTAAAGCCATTCCTTTTGTCCTATCACCCCATGCCCTTGTACAAAGTCTTTCTTCAGCTCTCTTGGAGCACCTTTAGGCACTGGAAGGGGCTTTAAGGCCTCCACAGGGCCTTCCCTTCTCCTGGCTGAACAGCCCCAGCTCTCAGCCTGTCTTGGTAACAGAGGTTCTCCAGTCCTTGGAGCATATTTGTGTCCTCCTCTGGAGTCCTTCCAGCAGGTTCATGTCCTTTTTATGCTGGACACAGCACTGCAGGTGAGATGTCACCAGAGCAGAGGAAAGAGGCAGAATCACCTCCCTTGACCTTCTGTCCATGCTTCTTGTGATGCAGCCTAGGACATAGTTGACTTTCTGGGCTGCCAGCACACATTGCCAGGTCAATATAAAGGCAAGGTGGACTGAGAGGGAGAAGAGGAGGAGGAAGAGAATTGGAGAGGATGTCCAGGTAGAGGCTGAATCACTGAAACTTGTAACTGCCATTTGAAAGTTGTATCAGCAACAAAAGGGAGAAAAGACTTACTGCA